TAATGGTTACACAAGACAAAACATCATTATGACATCATAAAGTGGCCAAAATCTGATCAGCTCATTTTCAGACAGGTTTTTATAGAAATGGATCAAAAAGAGAGAGAATCTTTGTTCCTGAAACTTTCAGTCTCTTTCCACAGAGGGGACACATGTTGATGTAGAAGAGACATGGAGAAGAGGGGACACATGTTGATGTAGAAGAGACATGAAGAAGTGGGGACACATGGTGATGTAGAAGAGACATGAAGAAGAGGGGACACATGTTGATGTAGAAGAGACATGGAGAAGAGGGGACACATGTTGACATGAAGAAGAGGGGACACATGTTGATGTAGAAGAGACATGTAGAAGAGGGGACACATGTTGATGTAGAAGAGACATGAAGAAGAGGGGACACATGTTGATGTAGAAGAGACATGAAGAAGAGGGGACACATGTTGATGTAGAAGAGACATGAAGAAGAGGGGACACATGTTGATGTAGAAGAGACATGAAGAAGAGGGGACACATGTTGATGTAGAAGAGACATGAAGAAGAGGGGACACATGTTGATGTAGAAGAGACATGAAGAAGAGGGGACACATGTTGATGTAGAAGAGACATGAAGAAGAGGGGAGGTGTTTTTATTCGGAAAGCACTTTGTCACTGTGTTTGAAAGGTGCCAAATATATCAAATATATCAAATATATTAAATGTATTAAATATATCAAATATATAAAGTGTATTAAACGTATTATAGATATTCCCCACCTGTCAGGTAAACAGGTCTCCTGCCGATCTTATCGGAGAGAGGCCCGAAGAAAACGTTCCCGAACAAAAGCCCGGCGAAGAACAGCGACCCGGCGAGACTGACCTTATAGGCCTGCTGCTTCACCAGAAACCACTGCCACAAAACCAGAGAAAAGGTGGATTTACTGACCCGTTTTTGTGTGTTTTGCTCAAAATACAAACTATTATTTTCCATACAGTATGCAAACAAACATGGCTGATTGTATACCTTGAATCCAAAGGCAGCTTTTTAAGTACAAATAGCAAACGATAGACAATAACTAAGCAAATAAGTATTCAACTGGAAATAATGCATAACTATCAAGAACACTCAGTGGACCAACATACCATTCAAATACAACATGATAACACATAAGCTGACTGAAAGACGGAGATACATATAAAACTATTTCTGGATGAAACTGATAATGCACAGTTGGTACTTTGGTATCTTTAACGGATGCTTTGAGTTGGTTTGAATGATTAAAAAAGCCAAACTGAAATGCAATAACACCAAAAACACACTGACAATAATGAATGTGTTTATAGAAAAATGTGTAAAACTGGTGATGCTTTTAGATAACACATTTAAAAACAAGAAAATTAGCAAAGATAACTTTAAATACATCGTTTTATATATAACTATTTCTGTACTTCATGGATAATGCCTGTGATCTCCGTCTCTCTCACCTCGGTCACTATGGAGTCGATGTCCTCGGTGAAGACGACGCGTTGCAGGCCGGACGAATCTCCGTCCTGAGGCTCGAGGTGATACTCCGGAGTAGATCCAACCAGAACAATCAGCATGGACTGACAGGCCATATACACCTGAGACAACACAGGTAGAATAGAATCCTGTACTGTCATTATACAGCACATGGGTCAAACTCAAGGCCCGGGGGCCAAATCAGGCCCTTGGTGGATTTAATTTCGGCCCGCAGGATAATTTCTAATTCCTATTAGATCTGGCCCGTCGGTATATTGCACGCACACCTTCACTCCATCCTGAGGGTCTCCTCAGCTCAGAGCCTGAGCCCAAACATTGATGACCTTGCACCCAAGATGAGATGCCAAGTATCTGAGCTAGCATCACAGAGCAGCACACTGAGTTTAATGGATGTTTCCTTCTGCACTTTCTCTCTCACGACAACAGGGCATGTTTGGTTTGTCTTTGAGGGGAATAGTTTTTTTGAAGCTGTTGTTGGCCTGTGGGAAAATGTAATCATAAGAAATGACTCTGGAAAAGCTGCAGATAGAGCCATAAGAAATGAATGCAACTGATTATTTAATGTTTAATGTTGTTTTTATAGGCAATCATTTAAGCTTTGTTAGTTCCTGGTTTAAAATGTGCAATAAGTTCATTTCAATAAGTTCAGCAATCAACATTGAACCAGTCCGGCCCTCGACTAGTACCCATTTTTTTATTTTGGCCCACTGTGTATTTGACCCCCCTGTTATACAGGTACAATGAGATGAGTAGATCTAATCCTTTTTTTTTAAGGTGCCATCAAAAATACAAAAAACAAACAAAGAGACATACAGCATTCAGGAGAAGACAACATACTAACAACAAGCATTCATACTTCAATATGCAGATACAGTTTAAAGTGCAGGAATATATCGGCTTAAGTAAAGAATAATAGGTTTGAATGTGTATACAATATATATATATATATATATTGTGTCATTGCAAGCTGGAGTTTAGTGCAATTATTGTTCTGGGGAAGAAAGTGTCTGTTTGTCTGTATTTGTAAAGACAGTACATATTGTAATGCAGAAGAGCTCCATACAAATGGCTGCAATGGGCAACAAATGGATGCTATGATTGAACCACTTGTTAACCAGCGAGGGGGGATGCATTCTGACCAAAAAACATCAAATGTAAGAGATTAAAGTTGTACAGTTATGAGATAAATTCAAAGAAATGAATGAAATGTACTCCTGTGATAAACCCTTGATAACCAGCTGATGCAAAAACTAATTAATTGTCCAAATTATGATCCATAAAATACATCCTATAATCTTAATACTAACATACTTTTACTTAGGGAAGGTTTTCAATGCATGACTTTCACTGTAGTGTTTTCAAAGTGTTATCAATTAACCACTCTTAAAGAAATGCTATAATATCCGGTCTTTAATCCAATGTTTTATTGTTTCTATGTTCAGTTTAGCATCATGGAAACTTTTGTCATTGTGAAATCTAACAACCACTAGCTAGAGGGAGGGTTGGCTTAACCAAAAGGGAAGTTTTGCCAAACGTAATTTGCATAATGCAATATTTACAATGAAATGTGGCATGAGTCCAAATACAGTGCGATTGGGAAATGAATTGAAGCTGTTTTTTAATATGTGGCTTGTTGCAATAAATTCGGGACATGTATGAAGTGGCTATAGCCTATTTTTCTTTAATTAAAGGTCAACTTTCTTTAATTACAAGTTCATTGTGAGGAAGTTGGCGATTCAATTTGGTAATGGTGGCATGCAATACATACCACGTGGGGAATTACTTCAAAAATATGTAGTAATAAGTGGGTTTTGTGATAACTTTGGCCTAAGTTTGGGCTTTGTTCTTACAACATTATGTAAACATTTTGGACTTCGTGTGAAAGTACCCGGATGTGTTGCTCGTACGTCCTGTTGAAAAAAGAGGTTCAATACAATACATTTATGTAAAAACAAGCTTTGTATAGTGTGCCGAATTAAAGAATAAGAAGTCAATATTTAAAAAAGTGTTTAATTAAAGGCAACTTTTTGTGTAAAGTTACAGATAAACCATGCAACACTCAAATCTCAGTTTTTCGAAATGAAGTTCTCTGTCGTGCAGAGTGAGCTTGGTCAATTATAAGCAACAGCTGCAGGCACAAAGCTGCTAACATGTTGCATTTATCTCACAGTTAAATGGTATTTTCTTGCTCCACATTTGAAGGTTTAAAAAGCCCCCTTGTAAAGCCACGTAGCGTTATTTCACCCGCTGTTGTTGCAGGGACAGTTTCCGCCACTGCTGCTTGTTTTCATATATAAATGTATATTTGTTTTAATGCACAAACCTGTGTGAGAACAAGCACAGCCACCGCCCGCTGCTGGTAGGGTCCAAATTCGCCGACAACTTGAAAAGCTTCTTCTAAATCCATCCCAGGTTGGACGGCCAGGCGGTTCTCTGTGTGTTAGCATCACCACTAACAAAGAGTAAATAAAGGGGTGTGTGTGCGCCTGTGTGAGTGGTGACAGAGCAAGTGAGAAATCCGCACTCACTTCCGGGTTCGTCTTGCTGTCGAATCAGTATCAGAAACTGTTTTATTCATTCTTTATTCGTCCCTCAGAGGAGAAAATGTACATGTGTGACAGCAAGTAGAGAGACAAAGATAGCTTGATATTAATTAAGAAGTATGCAACAACAACAAAAGATTAAAGATACATGTTAAAATTACACTATTTACTATTTAAGATTCAAGATTCAAAGCTACTGTGTAGAGATGGCAATGAAATTCTTCTGACCTGAGCTCCTCCAACAATGCAACATATATAATCAAACACACATCAAATACCAGTAACAGTATGAGATAACGCAAGTGAAAGAAATACAGGTGCACATCCATTTATGGTATATACTGAATTGCACATAGTAGTATTAAACAACAGGGATGTTATAGTAGTATTACTATGTTAATAATAATATAACGCTGTACTATAGGGGTGTTATAGTCAGGGGTGCACACAACTTTCTCAGTAAGGTACTCAGATGAGTACCTGGAGTCACTGTTTGGTACTCCAACTTCTGGCTACCCTCAAAGTTCCCATGAAGCCCTCTGTATCGCGAATGTCAGCGGGGGGGGGAGCATGTGAACGTTGTGATCAGCTGTTTTAGCGCAGTGCTGCTGTACAGACCGACGTTAACAGCAGCCCTGTCTGTGCACACGGAGACCGACTCTGTGTCCGGTGATCTAACCGCCTTCTGGAAAAGCTTCACAAGTACGTCGGTACGCAAATGCCCTTTGTGACACAAGTGACGGTACGCATTTCAGATTGTTGCCGCGCATGCGTACCTGCGTACCACTTATGTGCACCCCTGGTTATAGTACATACGCAGACTGTATATCTAAAGGGGTTAACATATAGGAGGAATTTCCCCTGGTGTATATGGTGCATACATAAACACAGTCAAATATCATTATATATGAATGGTCCTATGACTTTAGGTTCTATTGTATGTTTCAATGTGGTATAAATACTTGTCTAGTTTCTTAGAAATACATTTTTCTATATTGTTGACCTACTCATACAGCTTATTTTCATTACATTGTTTATGTTGGCACCACCAAAGCAAATTCCTTGTATGTGTAAACGTACATTTATGATCCTGAAAGAAGATCAATTGGGCCTAAAAATACAACTATTATAACATTAAAATAAAGAGCAATATATACATGAATTATAGAAATACCAAAGAACGATGTACGGTATGACAAATATATGTTAAAAATTAAATATGTGCAGTGTTGGAATGAAAAGTGAAGTGCAGATATGAGAGGTCAGCTTCCACGGCCCTTCCTCGTTTCTCTAACCGCCTGCTCGGTTCACCTCCTCGACTCCTCTCTCCTCGACTCCTCCGCTCGCATCTCCTGTGGGCGGGACTAAGACACGAGGATAGGGGTCGAGGAGGGGTCACTCGATAAAAAACAACAACAGATTGTTTAGCAAGACTCACGTTTATTCACAAAGGCACTGAATATAAACAGATAACAACTTAATAAATGCTAACTAAATAAATTAAAAAAACAATGGAGATAAATGCATTTTTGCAAGCCATTTCTAGAAGTCCGTGGAATTCCAAACATTAAAAAAAAAAGAAAAGCAGAATACAAGTGCATCAAAATATCAAAAGTAATCTAATTTGTACTCGTAATAAAAACATGTATATTACAAAAAGTGTACATTCAATGAAGCTTCGTCTTCAACGTCTAATTAAAAGTGGACGGCGTGCCAACAGTGCGTTTCTTTAAGTGCTTCGGCTCCTTGGACTCAAGTCCTCATTTCATGAAGGAACTTAGGCACTGAGTTTTCAATATAAAAAAGCCTCACATTTAGCTGAGTGTCTCTTTTTGGAGGATGGCGATAAGTTATTACGAACATGTGGATATGGTGGATTGTAAGAAGTAATACTCGGAACTGCACACTGAAATGTATATGATTTGACACTGAGTGGATGTCATTGAGTACTTCAACCCATTCCTCTTCCCTTATTACCAAGAAAAATTATATTTAATACTATTTTTTTAGTATTGATCAATTTATTTCATGCTTTTAAGGCTTGAAAAAATTGATAAATAGTGCATTCTCGTCATCTTACATCCTGATAGATTGACAAAAGATAAGGTGGTTGTAGATAAAATGATAGCATGCAAGTCGTAGGACAGCAAGTATCAATTACATTCATTATCGATGAACTCAAATCCAGTTGATTGTCGTGGATCACAAAAACAAAAACAAGCATAAAATTCACACATTTAAGAAACGTGAAAACAGATCATTTCATGTTTTTTTTCCAGACTAAAACAAATATTTGACGATCAAAATATTTGACAAATAATTTCCTGTTGATCGTTTTATCTTGAAAGGCGACAGAATCTTTTCTCCCAGATATTTTGTTGCAATGTCGCCAAGCTCTTATCGGCATATGCACACACATTAACATCTAAATCATGTTTTCACTCGTTCACCCAAACACTAAATACTTTGAGTGAAATGATCGATTAACACAAATCCAAAGCGAGTTATCATGTATAATAATAATCAGAAAAAGCTAAACATAACTTTGAAGTAATATTCAAATAACAAAAAAATTGTAAAAATTCAAATTGGATTATCAAAGTAGATGGCTGATTGTTAAAGTTCATACATTAGTCCTCTCATATCGATTTTTGATCATGAAGACAATGTCCCTTTTAACAACAGGCTGTGAATTTGCATTTGATATTTAAATATAAATCATGTTTTCATGCTGCTGTGCAACCAAATGATTCTTTTGGGGAGGACAGTGGACAGTATGACAAACCTTCTGGTGCATGTAACAGTCGAGGATGCACAGCTAAAAAACACACACAGCTCATGTGAAGCAAAACATATTGAGATGTTTTCCCAACATGTCCGCAGGTATAGCAATCTGCCAGATGAGAAAAGAGCTTCACAATTAACTATCCAGTTCAGCATCCGGTTCAGCATCCAGTTTAGTATCCAGTTCAGCATCCGGTTCAGCATCCAGTTTAGCATCGGCTTCTCCTTTTGCAGCTGCGTCTTCGATGACAGTGTTTTTCTCATGCGGTGTATTGGGCGGAGGGTCTGTAGGTTCTTCTTGGCTGCCTGGTGGTTCTTCCTTCAGCAATGGATCGGCTACTCCCCCTGCAGGACCACCTCCACTGCCTGGTTGTTCATCTGGTGATGTATTGTCTGTAGAGCTTGCATTAATAAGCCTAGCGGTTGTCTCACCCTCAGCCTTATAAGCAGGTGCATTTCCATTTTCAGCCAGGACGGAGTTTTGCTTCCCGCAGGGGCATTTATCATTTTTCCATACCCAATAACCCACAATCCCAGCAGCAACACCGAAGTATCGCACCAACGATGCCAACAATCTGACCAACTGGAGAGGGCTTTGGTACTTCCTTCTTGTAGAGTTTATTTGGAACTTGAGCACTTTCCTTCTCACTTACTGGGTTCTTCATCTTGCAGGTGAAGGTCTTCTCTTGTCCATGCTCTTCCCTGGTGATGGGCATGTCTTTCTCCGACTCTTTCCACTCTCCATCCCCGGTCTTCCAGCTGTAAGTGACGGGTTCAGCCCCGGTGGTGTTCCCGTCACAGGTCATGCTACATTTGTCACTTTCATCGCTGCATATCAGCGGGAAGAACTCTATCTTCGGCTTGGGAACATCTTTGATCACTAAAACGTTGTATGTCACTCTTTGCACGTTGCTGTTAACCTCCACTGAATACACACCCTCTTCCTCTTTGGTCATTTTCTCCATAGCTAAACTTCCAGAGACTATATCCAGTTTGATGTTTAATCTGTTATGGGCCAAATCAACCACACCTTTGATCCATTCTGCCAGAATACTATCTTTAAACTTCCACTGGATGATGGTGATCGGATCGGAAGGAGGAGGCCTCAAGTCCAGCGTCACGTTACCGCCTTCCTTGATGAACTTCTCCTCAGTAGAAGCAGAGCGAAGAGAGGCCAAAACCAGCAGAGAAACCACCAAAACTTTCTCCATTTCGTCCACGGATCAATACACGACTTTACGGATGTTCATAACAGATACATTAATCAATAATGTCGTCAATTCGCCGCCAAGAAGACACCGAGTAACACCGAGTAGCACCACACCCTGCGTCAACGCGAGAGAGTGAAGTGAAGGAAGAAAAGGAAGGGAGGGGCCCCAGACCATAGGTGTCCAAGACAGTGCCTGATTAAAATTCGACAATAGGGACTTTTTATTATCAAGCAGCATATTGTAAAAATACAAACATGCACAACTATTTAAATACTCAAAATAATTCTAAGTAGAAACAGATTATAAAAATACATTTAAATAAAAACAAATATATGTTTTCTCTATATACTAGCAGCTTTGTGTTTCTACTTAGAATAATATGTATTTGATGTATCATTAACTATAATAATATAATATTAAATAGATATGAATGAGTTATTTGACTTAATATAGGCTACTTAAAGTATATTTCGATGTTACTCCTTTTAAACATTTACGGGACACAATTCACTGGGTTGTATAGTGTGTGTTGCACCACGGACGAGTTAGTGAGTGCACCTGTGTTGTGTTGTCATTCTAGCTTGTGTAGCGTGTATACAAAATCATCCTGCTAACTCCCATTCATCGGCTCTACAAAACTGTCGATTGTTCTTTTTTAACATTCAAACATTAAAAATAACAATCGACATTTATCTGAATAAGGGAGGTGATTTATTATCATTACAACGTAATTTCCCGATCATTTAAATGATGGGAGTCAGCAGGATGATCTTGTATACACGCTACACAAGCTAGAATAGTATTACAGCTATAACTATAACTATATATATATACATAACTACAATACTATACAACCCAGTGAATTGTGTCCCGTAAATGTCACCAGTGTAAACATAATTATATAAATAACCCAATTTGTGTTCTGTGAAACGGAAAAGGATATTACATTGTTTTTGTTACTTTCGTTGCAGTGTCTTCAATGTAATTTAAGTTAGCTTCCTGTTTTATTTAGAATTATTATTATTGCCTCTTGGGTTGCTGTACAGCCAATGCGTGACGTCATTGGTAAGCGTAACGGACCCCAAGCAGATCTGGTATATCTATGGTAGCCCGAGCACATATGGTACTGACACTGGAATGGATCGGAATTCGGAAAAATTCCGACCCGAGCATGGCAAAAAGCCACTCGTTTCAAGACAATTTGTTAACAAAACTCGGGACAAATAGGCTAAAAACAGCAGAAAAGAACCTTAATATTTGTAATCCAAAATATACATTTGTTGTATTTATCGTGTTGGGTAAATTACTTCTTTTGTAGGTCGCTTTCCGGTCACACTGGAACATATTTGACCGGAGGACGTTATTTTCCGTAACACCAGTAAAAGCTAGGAACCGAAAGTGTGACTCAATCCAAATGCGAATGTTTTTTGAATGATCTAATGCAGGGTGTAGTCACATACCAAGTGTTTTCCAGGACCAAAACTAGTTGGCCGAGTAGCCCATTCAGAATACTTCATATTATAACATTGTGTTACAGAGGTGGATGCACATATGATAAGAGATACTTTTGTGCAGCTAGTAAAAGTGCATTTTAATGTCTGTATATGCTTTGTGTAGCTTCATTTGTAAATTTAAATCATGAGGTGACTATTTTGTACTAATCTGAGAGGTATGTAAAGCTTTAAAATAAATATATTGCTGTTAAAGTACAATAAGTGACTCTGATATGTGATATAAGTATGAAGTGTGGAGGGAAACAGATCAGTACAACTTTGGTATTCTTAAATTACGTAAAAAAAGGTATTTTGTTAGGGTTTAACAGTTTGGTGTTTATGTAGTCTTTCCGTGGCAGTTACATGCAGGTAGTAGTATTCGTTTATTTGTCTCCGAGGAGAAAATGGGTTGCAGCACATCACAAGGCATTTAAAAAGAGAAAACATGTCACTGACAACAACATAGACGGATTAAAAAGAACTGACATAAAAATTAAAAAAAGATATCGGCAGACATGACAAGGGGCCTTGGCCCTCATTTGCCAGAGGGAGAGGGGGACAGTGCCAGGCCAGCTGGGTAAACAGTGTGTCCTAGCCATCATTGATTAAGGAGTTTGATGGCTTATGGGACGAAAGACAGCCTAGATATGTTATTTTTAAACAGAGGGGCACGATATCTCCGCTCGAATGGCAACAGTTCAAAATAAAAGGCAAGATCAGGTCACTCACATTTTTAAAACTAAGCTTTCTAGACTAGAAAATTACATTCCGGACAATTTACTGGACAATGTTATGGCCCTCCGGACTGACTCGGTCTGTGCCTCAGTAGCGTTGCCGAACCAGCATCTGATGCCGAAGGAGAGCACACTTTCAATAAAAGCATGATAAAACATCTTAACCATTCTGTTTGACATTAAAAGACAATAATTTACGTAAAAATAACATACTTTGTTGAGACTTAGCATTTACTTTCTCAGACCATACATCCCATCTGAGCTTGTGGTCAAGCACGACACCAAGATACTTGTGCTCAGTGACACATTGTATAGGCTGCTTATTTAAAAGAGTAGGGTTGGGGGATTGTGCTTTTCTAAAATCAATTTCCATCTCCTAAACCACCGGTTTCGAACCCACCTGCTAGCTACTGTAGTGACAAACTGTCATTCATTTTATCTCTGCGTGAATGATTAGATAATTTCACCTAAATTAAATGAAACTATGTTGATGGTTAAATCAGCTTCACATGTAGGCCTACTGAGTTCTGAGCCATTTAGATCTCTAAAGGCCTTGGGGCTTGTTGTTTGATTGAATTAAACACAATATATGCACTCCACTGTGCTGTTGTAGTATTTACTGTATCTGAAGCTCTTAATACGATTGCTCATATTTCAAGCCATCTTTTTCCCAGCCCCTTGCTTTGGATAATTTTCATCAACCGGCCCCATTCCAAACTAATTGAATAGCCCTGCTGTATGATATACATCTGATGTCAGGGCCCATGTTATATTAAACCTAATGTGATAAGTACATTAGTTACCAACACAATACATCTTAATAAGTAGTATTTTCTAGTTCTGTTCTATTTTAAAAGGCCTTAGCTTGCTGTCGTGCAATTTTTTGAGTTTTCCCTGGAATGAATGTAATGTTTCTTGTGAAATTGTAACATTTTTAAGCCTTTAGTCTCCAATCATGAAGCTCATAGATGCGATATAAAGAAATAGATATTCATCCCCAGATAAAGACACAGCTCCCAACATCCTCCTCTCTTTTTGTCCAATCAGGTGTCGACTCTGGAGGGCGTGCTGGAGGTTCGAAACGAGCACTTCTGGACCGTCGGCTTCGGATCTCTGGTACGTTTCTCACAACTAAAGATTTAAGACGAGGCTATTTTGTAGCTTTTAATTTACGATCAGAATCAGTTTTTTAGTGATAAGTCGATTTTTAGATACATTTTGACGTAAAATAAAAAGAGCTAATATAGAAATACCATCAAGAGCTGTTAGAAAAAAAAATGAATGTGAAGGATCTGGATTTAACGTGAAGCACCGTGTGGTAGTGTTGTCACGATACCAACATTTTGGTTTCGATACC